AATAAATTAGTATTTTTTTCAAGTCTCTGTCTTCATGGTAATGTGATGCAGCAAAAATGGCAAACAAGTACAGTCACTAATATAGTGCCATTTGACATCAGAGAAAGAAATATTTCAGTCTTATATTTTCTGTCATTTCTATTTCTCTCTCCAGACACATACACACCTGTGCACAAACACATCGATTCTTTATGATTATTCTTTGGTCTTATCTATCTAACATGCTTTTGGTACTGTGTCAGTGAGCTTTAGCAAGAGTGTTTTATAATGACAAGATTTGAAGAAGATGGCTTAAATCCCATATAGTTTGTAGCACTTGTGCAAAAAGCAGAACAATATTCAAATTGCCTTGGGGCTTAGTATTCTGGGCTGTCCTGCCTCTCTACTTCTGTTACATGGTTTCTGCTTTCTCCAAATTGCTGATCCTGACTCTGCTTTGATTCATAGATATTTTGATTCTTGGTTCTTATACTTCCACCTGGGAATGACTAGCTTTGTTGCTTTTATTCCTATGTGATTCTGGTGGTTTGAAGCACTCATACCATTCTCCCTACCCAAGATGTATAAATTACTGAAAATAAATTTTGGGTACTATGTCAGTGAGCTTTTCATTGTTGTGACCAAAAGACCTAACAAAAAAAAAGTTACAGGAGGATAGTCTATCATGGCTCATGGTTTCAGAGGTCATTCTATTGTTGGCTAACCACATAGCTCTGGGCCTGAGGTGAGGCAGAAAATGAAGGCCATCAAGATATGGCAGAGGGAAAATGCTTGGTTCACAACAATCAGGAAACAGTGTGGAGGCTTCACTCACCAGGACAAAACATAAACCCACAAAGATACATCCCTTTTGAACTACTTCCTCCAGCCACAATCTAACTGCCTAAAGTTATCACCCAGTTAACCCATTTGAGTGGATTAATTCACTGATATGGTTACAACTCTCTCACTCATTTCCCCTTGAAACCTGCTTTCATTATCTCACATATAAGTTTTTGGGGAACTCCTCATTTACAAACCATAACAGGTACTAAATCACATGCATATTATTTCTTATCTATCTAACATGATTTTGGTCTAAATTTTCTTCAAATTTCAGCAAAAGAAAAAGGTCACTAAATAGACATTATGATTTCGAAGATGAGTTCGTGAGGGAAGCAGTAATTCAGGTGGCACTTACAGTATAGTTCTTCTCAAAGAATTATAGGTCTCATTTCTTCTCATATGTTCTTCCCCTTTTCATTTATTTCTTCATTTTTTGAGTTCTTATTTTTATATTCCTTCTCTTTTATTTTTAAACTTGTGTTGACCCTTTCAAAATAACTATAGCATTTCCTTATATTTTGTTCTCTTTGACCATAGAACTTACTCCTGAAAACTAAGAGCCCTCAGATGCTATATTCACTGAGATCTTAATTATAGCACTAAACATAACACAACAACCAGATAAACCCTGAGTATTCAGTAGAAAGAAATTTATGTGTCATAATATTTTTTCATAATTGAATAAAATTCAATAATTAAATTTATAATTAAAAATCATCTCAGGAGAACTGAAATCAAATCCCAGTTAGGGACATGAAATAATGAACAAATTTGTAAATGTGAGCAAGGTTCTTTCTATATAAAGGTTTGGCACATTTAGAATACAACTACTTAATAAATTGTAACATCTTTGTTATTTATTTTTAAGCATATGAATTATAGTCATGATTACGATAGATATAAGAACTGGTAGATGAACATGAAGCCATAAGAATAACTTCTTACATTTCTACCAAGAACTCATAAATTATAAGATAAAAATGAATGATTTGGACTATTAGTAAGGATTTTTAAAAAGAGTAATACTTAAATTGTTCCTACACAGTTTTAAATAGCTTAACAATTTGAAAGCCCTTAGGGTCTCAGTGGTTTCCATAGCCAATTTTTATTTTCATTACATTGTGGAAAATAGCAAATGCTTTAGAAAATAAGCAATACAAAGCTTATAAAAAATATCCCTTTTTATATTTGCATTTTAGCCGCTTTCAGAAGGAGTCTAATCAGAGTGGGAGTGGAACTTTGTTCTACTGACATGCCCTCCAAAATAGCACAGGCTCACAATAGGTGGTCCCAATGAGGTCCTTTTTATGGTGACAAAACTATTAGCATAAATGAAAGCTCATACAAACATGGGGAAAGCTATTTAAGAACTTCCACCATCAATGCCAGTTGTCAGGCTGCTGGAGACACTGGTTGAAATGATTTGTACCCATCACATTTATTTTTTCCAATGGAGAATTATATATTTGACTTGTTGGAAAGGTTGGATACTAAAAATATGCTTTTAAAACAAAACCCCAGGAAGAGAAAAAAAAAAAGAGTGGCAGCTGCTTATTTCTCTCTCTGTAAAAAATGTGACTTATAATGTAGCAATAAAAAAAATCAGTGCAGAAAATGAAGCAATTTATAAAAACTACACTAAAAAAGCAAAATCATAGATTATAATGTTCACTAGAATTTAATGAAACTGTCAGATACTTTGAAATATCAGCCAGGTAATTTTGGTATCTCATTGAATAAACTATGGAATCAAAATGGTGGTGGTTTATCATAGATGTTAGTGTTGCACAAATAGATACCTTGAATCTCTAGAGATACAAAACAATATCCTACATTGAGGTGCTGTGGCAATGGAGGGAATTGCCTTGTGATAAAGAAAAAAAATCAGCTTATACAGATTTCTGTCAGTAAGAATGAAAATTTATTGGGTAAAATTTTATTTAAAATGCTTTGCAGAAATGATTTTTAAAATTTAATCCTGGACTAAAATGTTGCCTTTAAATTAAACATAGATAATAAACCCACACAAAACTGTTTTGCAGTGTCCAAATGACTTTGGCCTCCCTTGAGCCAAACTTATCCTTTTTCAGAAACTTCTACAGACCATCATATAACTTTCTTTCCGCAATCTTATTTTCTCTTTGATTTAATAGTCCCAATTCTCAACCAAATTGACTCCAGTCTTAAGATGCCATTTCTAAAGCTATGTTTTAAATCTTTTTTCAGCACCAAACCTATAAGATAGTCCCTAGCATTAGACTTCTCCTACAGACCTCAACTGTGTCAATGAGTGTGCTGCTGCCTATTCCTGGCTTGATTTTTCTCCACTAAATATCAGAATATGACAACGAATGAGAGTTAGAGAATGACTACTGTTCTATCAGTGAGTTCTATAACAAATAGTATTTTATGAGGTAAGTTCCAAAATAATTGTAATTTCTATTTATTTCAGATTTAAAGTAGCCAAAATCACCTCACCAATATGTGCACTAGTATGATAGATATTGTAACTTAAACTAGGAGTAATAAAATGTAATAATTAAAAAATTATATGGTCTTAACTTTAGGTCAATTTTATATAGATAATGATATTTCCAAGAGTTCTGAAGGTCTGGCCATTTCATTTTCAAATGCATTCATAAACTATCAAAAAGCTGTGCTTCAGACCTTGTATAGATTTATACTTGTATGAATCCAACCTTGTGTGAATACTGATACTGTGGTTGAGAATTAGCACAAAGGCCATAAAGATGAGACCCTTTCAGATATGGAGAGGTCAGGTGTCAGACCCAGTAATGTTTCTGGGAGCCTGGATGAGGTTAATTCTTTTTAAAATATGACATCAAGGGATAGATAGAGCAAGAGGTGATCAGAGATGAGGCTGGACATGTAATGTAAGTAGTCATACACATTTGAAAATTCTAGACAGACAAGCACAAAAGTGGCCCCAAAGCACTGAAGAGACCAAAGGTACCAGGAGGGGAAAAATGACATGAGTTTGTTAGGAAGAGTGGGGAGCATTCTGGTGACACCTGAAATGCTGTGGCAGAGTATCAGGGACTTTTGATACAACAGTTTGACCTTGTTTTTGAGTAGAGCCCTGAGCCAATTTTAATAACTATTACTCTAGACATACTTAATTTTTTTCCATAGATTTCAGGTTGAATTAGCCTCCCAACCCTACATGTAAAGATTTCCAGGAGCAGCTCAGCTACTTTTTTTTTTCCTCCAAGTATCCAAAATGAGATCCCCATAACTGCCACCTATTGACCTATTCCTTTAAGGTTCATATAACTATAAAACAAATGTAATATTAATTGAGATATTTTTAGTAATTCAGCAGGGATCAAAACTTAAATCTTGGGATTTTTTTGGACCTCCTAATTTAAAATGTTAATAACCAAAGGAAAATGGATTTTTTTTCTTTTTGCTAGAAGTGAAGCCAGACAATAGAGAGATAACTATTCTGAGTTTTCAAATGTTTTATAGCATTTTCAATTTTTTCTAATAAAATAAAACTATTTTCAGAAGATAAAATAGCTGTTAGTATGCTTATTATTATCAATTCAAGACTTTTAATAGAGACAGGCACTTAGCCACATTTGTTCTAATGGCTGAGCCTTTGTTCTCAGTGACCTTCAAAAGTACATACAGTCAGGCTGTGACAGGAAAGAGCTAGCTGAAGGTTGTTTACTGTTTGAAGTCTACACATATTTTTGGAGCAGGAATGTAAAATACAGGGAAATATCATGCTACCTGTGGGAATAAAAACGTATTTCTCAAATTCAAATGAGTCAATTGGTGTAAATTTGTTACAATTTTATTAAATTCAAAGAAAGAAGACAAAAAAGAAGCACATCTTTAAATAATCAGGAGGCAAAAGTCAAAATTGTTGCAATTTTTTTTATAAGAGTAGTTTTATTCAGATACAAAGAACAATTACTTATTACCAAATTTTCTTTCCTTGAAGATACAGACTTGGGGAAAGCTATAAAAAGGGCTGACTGAAAACAGCAAGACAAGCACAGTTGTGTTCTACCTGGGTGTGGGGGACACGCTTTGTGTTAGATTACAGCTCCAAGAATGGTCTTCACAGACAAATGTCAGGGTTTTCTGTATCCCAGGGAACCTGTGCCACACTCAGAGTGAGGTCAGACCTGTAGGTCTCATTGTGCTGCCCAAGCCTTTTATAAGTGGCTCTGATACAACAAGCTGTGGTAATCCTCCTTTTCCATGAGAAGCGGCTGCCTTTCCTCCGGAAGCTGCTTTCTCTTGGGATGGCACAGAAGACAGGTGAGCCCTGCTAGCATGGCAGTAAGGACGGATCCTACCAGAGCTGCTCCAAGGAGCCACGGCCAGATCTGCCTGGCTTGTTCCAAATAGGGCGCAATGTAGTTTTGAAAAAAGCCTGGATCTGAAATAGAAACACATCTTAATGTATAATGTATTTGTTATTGCTATCATTATCATCATCATTATCCTTAGATAATACTTTGGAGTCAGACACTTGGGTTTGAGTGCCAGCTCTGTTACTAATTAGCTGGAAGAACTTAGAAAAGGTTCACCTAATACTCCTAAACCTCAATTTCTTCAACAGCAAAAAAGGAAAAGGAAACTCTCTTATTTAAAGTTTATGGGTAATCTGTAAAATATTCAGTGCCTTCTACAGACTGTGTATTCAGTGTTAGTTATTATTTTTTCAGCTTTCTGCTGATCTTACAAGAATTCTGATAATCAATGAAACACTGTTATATCATTAACCATTTAATAATCCATTAAGGTAGTAAATTAAAATTATTTTACAAACATTGATTGTAATGCTGGCAAATGCTCATTAATCTCAGAACTCTCCCAAGAATTCTAGGACATTTGTATAATCTCAGTATACATAGAGATCACAGTTTTAAATCTTAAAACAACCAATTGTAATCAAAGGCATTTGTCAACGATTCTGAGCAAAACAAATCCTCTACTAGTCTGATCATTTGTATTGCTTCAAACCACACAAGGAAAGGTCACAGGGGAGGGACAAAAGCCCTAGTAACTATTGCTCAAAAAAGCTTCCAATATCTAAAATTATGTAGTTTAATAATCTAAAACACAAACTTCAGAAATAATGTACTCCCTGGGATCCCTTCCAGTTTTCTTGAATTGTTTCATAAAGTCAAAATCTAGCTCCTCAACTGCAATGAGTTTCTTAAAAGCATTTTTATATTTACTTTAACAAGCCTTAAGTATCTAAAATGTTATGGGATTAGCATTTCCTCTATTATTGTACCTACTACAATCTATTCCAATTACTATGTACATCTCTATTTTCTCTATTAAACCAACTCCTTGGGGACCAGTAGTAGGCTTTAACTACTGATGTAATCCTGATATCTGGTATGATGCATGAAAGACTAAAAAATTTACTGAATGATTGACTGTGTTGGACCCAGATGAGAACTTGAAGGGATGTCCCAGGGTGGAAGCTGGGGAATGAAAAGAGATGAGCGCAAAGAGTATTGTCCAAGGAAAAAATTATAAATTACCCATGGTTTATTATGTTAGGATGTTATATTTATAGTTGTTTTAAAAAAGATGAAGTTTTAACTCTAAGTGAAAAGTAACCTAAGAAAGGAAATAATTACAGCATATTATTTGGTCAAACTCTAAACAATATTTAAGTAGTAAATATAATGATAATCCTACATACGGATTTGAACCAAAATCATGACAGTACTGTACTAAAAATATGGAGGAAATAAAAGCGGGTTTGGAGCTCTGAGTCCTGCATCCTGTGTGCTCATACTCAACAGAAACAGCAGATGTAGCACAGCATCCTCCAAACACACAGGCTCAGGCCCCTGGGTTGAAGAATAAGAACCAACTGGCAAGAAATCCTTAGCAACCAGAAAAGGAGCTACTCTGCTTTAGAGTCTTTAGGAGGATCCACAGCTGTGAGTTGGCAGGTAACCCAATTCTCATTCAAATGCATGGACCCAGAGAAGGCAATTTTTGATTCTAACCCCAAGCCACCAGCATGGAAACTCATGAACACACAATGGCAGTACACACCACAAAAGAGATTTAGAGGAGCACCCCACAAACACCAGTCACCAAGTCTGCTCAGATACATGCCTACTGACCTGTTACCTGGGCACCCCAGAGAGGGCAACAGCATTACCTGCTTCTGCCTCAGATCCTTTCTACCCATGGCTTTCTTCTATTTAACCTTGGTTCTATCTTTTCTTTACTCTTTATTTTTTCCCTTATTTTTCTCTTCTTCCTGTTTCATTTATTCCCTGTATAATGTAATTTTGCTATCTTTAATGATTATTTTATCAACCTATTTGAGAACATTACAATTTTATGCCCAGATTAGAGGAACTATAGAGAACATTTTCAACAATTTTCCCCCACTAAGATTTATTAACCAATAGAGAAAAATGGTAGGTCATATTTAGATGTAAGTAGAATTTCAACTAATTTCTCAGCCCAGACCTTAAAAAGACAGAAAGGCTTGAGATAACATATACCAAGCCCTTAAAAAAACAAACAAACAAACAAACAAACAAAAAAACTCAGGTGTCAATCAAGGCTACTGGGTCCAGCAAACTATTCCTTAAAATTGAATGTAAGAAAAAAACCTTCCATGAGAAATTGAAGAATTCATGACACCAATCTAACATGATAAAATACTCAGTTAAGTAAATATGCAGAAGAAATGAAAACTAAATATCAGAAACTAAGCATGTCAGCAGACACCTGTAATTCAAGGAGCTCAGGAGGCTGAGGCAGAAGGATTGCAAGTTCAAGGCCAGCATTAGCATCATATGAGACCCTTAGCAACTTACCAAGATCCTGAATCAAATATCTATCTATCTATCTATCTATCTATCTATCTATCTATCTATCTATATCTCTCTTATATCTCTCTATATATCTATATATCTATATCTATATCTATATCTATCTATATCTATCTATCTATCTATCTATATATATATATATATGTATACATATATATTAAAAAAGACTGGGATGTAGCTCAGTGGTAAAGTACCCCTGAGTTTAATCACTAGTAATAAACAAATAAATAAGGTAAATATCAGAGTCAGCATATGAATGGATCTCACCAGAAGAACAGTTAATTAAAGGAGAACCAAGTTTGAATTAAGCATAAGAATTAAACTAAAATAGCAGGAAATAAAAATTATCTCTCTCCATTAACAGTAAAAAGACACTGCTTGGCAGAGAGGGTTAAAAACAAGATCCAATTATTTGTTGTATACAAGAAAGAGAGATTTGTTTTGTATGTAACAATATTTGAAGACTGGAGGTGAAAGTAGGGAGAATGATAGACCATGCAAATTGAGAATTAAAGCAAGCAAGGGTACCTACCCTCACATAAGACAAAGTAGAAGTCAAGCCAAAGTTAATCAGAAGACATGAAGAAAGTCACTTCTTACTGGTTAAGCAAATCACCCAACAACAAAATGATATGCAATATTTATGTCTCTAATCCCCTAACACTAATGTACCTGCCCATGTAAAACAAATCCAATTCCTCATAAAGGATGAAATAGATCCCAAAACAATAATACTGGGTGATTTTAACATTCTTTTCTCACTATTCAATAGGTCATTCAGGTAAAGTAAGGACTCTACAGAACTAAAATTATTAATCAAATAGACCTAAAAGATATCTAGCTAATATTTTATCCATCAACAATCAAGTTCACTTTCTTCTCAGTGAGACATGAACTTTCTCTAAAATAGATCATATTTTAGGATACAAAGCAAGTATTGCCAAATACAAAAAGTAGAGATAATTTCTTGCATTCTATCATGTCATAATGGAATAAAATCAATGAGTTAAAAAACAAAAATAATTTTAATATCTGAAGATTAAATAATATATTTGCATGGGCAATGGACCAGAAAAAAAATCAGTGGATAAATTTAAAAAACTAGAAACAAGTGAGAGCATAAATACAACATATCAAAATCTCTGGGAAAATCTGAAGGCAGCTGAAAAAGGAATGTTTATAAAGAACAACAACACCCCCAAACCAGAAAGATCACAAATAAGTAATATAATGTTACTCCTCAAAGCCCTAGAAAAAGAAGAACAAATCAGTAGGAGACAGGAAATAATTATGATCAAATTCAAAGTTAATGAAATTGAAAGTTAAAAAACAATACAAAGTATCAATGCAACAAAGAGTTTGTTCTTGGAAAAAAGAAAGAAGATTAATAAACCCTTACCCAAACTAAGAGAGAGAGAGAGAGAGAGAGAGAGAGAGAGAGAGAGAGAGAGAAAGAGAGAGAAACCCAAAACAACAAAATGAGAGATGATAAATTAGAAGTGTCATGACAAACACTTTTGAAACCTGGGATCAGTAGAAACTATTTTGAAAATGTATACTCTAATAAACTAGAAAATCTATATGATATTGGCAAATTTCTAGGCACATATGACCTACCCAAATTGAACCATGAGGACACAGAAAAATAAAACAGACAAATATCAAGCAATGAGATTGAAAAAGCAATTTAAAGACTTCCAACAAAGAAAAGCTCAGAACTAGATGTATTCTCAGTTAAGTTCTATCAGGCCTAAAAAGAAGAACTAATGTGAACTTTCCTCAAATTATTTCATAAAATAGAAGTAGAGGGAACACTGCCAAATTTATTCAATGAAGCCAGTACCTCCCAATACCATAAAAAAACAAAGATACATCAAGGAAAGAAAACTTCATGCCAAAATACCTGATAAACATAGATGCAAAACTCCTTGATAAAATATTGGAAAATTGTCAAAAACACATCAAGAAGATCAAGTGGGTTTCATCCCAGGGATGTAAGGATGGTTCAACTTATACAAATCAGTAAATGTAATTCACTACTTAAATGGAATTAAGTACAAGGATCATAAAATCATCTCAACAGATACAGAAAAGCTTTCAATAAAATCTAGCAACCATTCATTTTTTAAAAGAACTGAAGCAACTAGGGATAGAAGGAACTTACTTAGTATTATACAGGCTGCATATAAAAACCCCAAAGCCAACATCATACAAAATAGAGAAAAACTGAAAGCATTTCCTTTAAAATCAGGAACAAGACAAGGATGTCTACTCTTAGCACTCCTATTTAATACAGTTCTCAAAACTGTAGCCAGGGTACTTAGGCAAGGAAAAGAAATTAGAGGGTTACAAATAGAAAAAAGAAGTTAAACTAGTATTGTTTATGAGAAGACCCCTAAATCTCTATCAGAAGACTTCTACAGCTGATAAACAAATTCAACAAAATAGCAGGTACAAGAACCACATAAATAAATCAATCTCTTTCCTATATTGCAATAATGGTTCTGCTAAGAAAGAAATCAGAAAAACTGTGTCATTTACAATACATTAATGGGAATGA